TGCAGCAAACCTGCACTTATCACTACATGACATTTGACAGAAGGGCGAGAGCTCAGCTGTTGCTGGATCGATAACAACAACAACAACAACAACATCAGTCTACATCTAAGTCTCTGCAACAACGCGAATTTCACTTCTAAATCTGCAACTAAATAAAAGATCTAGATAATGACCAATATTTTTAAAATTCTTCGGTGAAAATGGTAAAACGGTACTGGCCTAACGCCCTTATAAGGTTATTTCAAGGGTGGACATACGAGTTTAACGTTCATCTCCGAAAGGACAGAGCCAAATGAGAAATTTCGTGTAAAGTGTCTTTCTCAAGGACACAACGTTGGGGCTGAAGCTCGAACCCCTAAATCTGCAAACTCAGGATTACTTAGGACTCTTCAACATAGAAGGTTCGAGACTTTGGTAGAACAAAAGTATGTTGCATTTTTAATATCATCGATATTTCATTTTGCTCTGTTGTTCCCTCGCTATTGCTCCCAATTTCATCGGGTGACCTAGATTATACAATCACTATGTTGAAAAGGTACAGACACATCTTTCATGTACGAACTATTTTTTTTTTTATTGTTTGTGTGTGAATGACCCACTTTCAACCCGAACTTTGGTCAATTTAGCTATTTGACATGTGCCGCTCCTTCCTGCTATCTTCTTTTCTCTCGTGTTACTCTCAATTCCGTCTTGTTACTCAATGATAAACATTACAATTTAGGTGTTTGTTGAAAAGGCACAAACATGCCTTTAGTTTTAACGTCTTTCGTTTACTCTATTAACCGTGAACTAGCTCACGTTCTAACCCCAACTGAGGTCATTTAAGCTATTGAGCACATTCCCTTCTCTGCTGTTACTTTTTTATTCCCTCCTCTTACCAAAACTCAGGTAACAGTAGGGAAAGTAACAGGAGAGAATTCTGCACATCGTTACCCTGACGACCACTAACCGAGTAGAGCTCATGTTATGGTTTGTCTTACCATTGAAATGTAATCATGACAGACGTTCTAACCAAAGGAGAATGTATTGGATTTCTGTATAATAAATCGTTCTTGACCCAAGTACCAGGAGGGATGTAAGCTCAAATACTCACCAAGTTGCGTTCAGCTTGGCTCTGTATCTTTCTATAGTGTATTGCATGAGCTCAGCTGTCTTATATCATATATAGGAACAAGAAGGTAGTGTCTTCACTCACAAAATCTCAAAGAAAATAAATCTGGATCTAGGGAACAATCATCTGTGTAAAATACTAGGTAACAGGAGAGAAGTTTGAAATCGGTTAAGCAAAATATGGAGATAAAGAGTTGATTAACAAATATAAGACAAGGACGTCACCGAGATCTTTTTTGCTTCGGTATTGCTGTCCAATACTCTGTACAACCGTGAAATATTTAATCCCTGGAGCCATGACTTTTATCCCTAAGCATGTTTTAAGACACATAAAATACGTGTTGCGGATCTTGGCATTTCGGCCTACTGAGCAAGAATTACAAAAGAGCTGTAACAACATTTCTATGACTTGGTCAGTTTTGAAAACCTCATTTTAAGGTCAAGGAACGTTTTACCCTGTTCATGAACATAGTCAATGGCAATTCTAAGCAATATTTCATAATGGTATCCAACGAATAAGGTCTGGAATCACAAATTCAAAAAAATGTGACACTAAACATAAAAAAAGACTCATATACGTTTACACAGCAGTGAAAAGGTTGATAATTTTAGGAAGATGGCTGCCACAGTCTCGCCTCGCAGGGCTTTCACGGGCCTTCCCAGGCGGCGTGAAATGTTATTTGATCTAAACTGTTATGAAAGTGTGTGGTCACACAAGGTCTGTACAATCAGTCAACTGTTTACGATCACTAAAAGAGTATTTACCACTTCCCCTTCATCCATTCACCTTACCCCAAGCCC